GCCACTGTTAAAGGTTTTCTTGCCACTGCTGTTGTCTCTCTTCTTGTTTATTTTCTTTCTCCTCCAACCACTGCTGTAGTCTCTTTTCTTGTTTATTTTCTCATTTTTCTTGTTTCTTCTGCTGTTCTTGTATTGCTGCCATCAAATCTGCTAAGCTGTAGTTTGATTTGCCACTTCTCGTTTCCATCTTTTCCTTCCCACTCTCTGACACCAATTTGTTACGTATCTGCTTGTTTGATAATTTCCGGTAAAATTCTTTCCAAGGAACTTTAGCGATACAAGTCTTTTCTTGATTAAACCAGTTTATTATTTCTCGATACAAACTTTTAGTACACAGTAAATCCACTGTCAATACTTTTCTCGTCACTTTAAACTTAACTACCTTTATAGCACACGCTATAAATCATAGCGAATCACAATCTCGAAAACACACACAATAGCTCGAAACAGAATCGTAAATTACCTGGAACTCTCTTCATTCCATCCAATCCTGCAGGCTTTCTCTGCCAGGCTTATATACTAAAAAAAAGAGGGCATCCCAAACAAACTCGGTCTTTCCTGATAATTCATGATCATTTGAGAAATTCATCACGTGTTACCAGCATCACGTGACTTCCGCTGTCATAACACTATTAATGAGACATCACTTAAGATATTATGTGAACTTTTTGAATTAGATAAGTTACATTCAATAGTTACATAGTTACATTCAAGCAAGTCAGTTGTGAAACAAAATTTCCAATCTGAAATTTACTGTATAAAGAATCTCATATTCTCATACTTGCAAGTGGATTTTTCATAATGGTAGTCAGAAATTTTGTAACATGCAATTTTTGTAAGTGCATATTTGCATGTGACACAAAATTGAATTAAAATATTAAACTGCAAAATTAAATTACTGAACTCTTAAGTCACTGAAACCAAATTCCTGTTTGATGCACCAAAAGTAGATTTTCCATCTGATTCCTGTTTGATTATGATTGTGTATGTATGCATACAAGTTTTTCCATTCATCAGAGCACTCCTCAAATAATTTTATTGCTGCATGTACGGTACATGAATTACATAATCAGAAGATCCATATTAATTGGAACACTTGTACTAATGCAAGATTGCATTCATCTGCTTTAGTGAAATGGTGAACAAAAAAGATTACAGGTTTTTTTAAACATGCCAATTCTGGAAATGAAACTGGTAGTGAGCAGGAGTCATTCAGTATTGACAATAAAAAGTATAAGTTGGCTGTCACAGCTTCTGTTAAAATGGGCAAAAAATAGTCAAAAGAACTGAATATTACACTCAGTTATAATATTGGCAAAAATGACCAGTTCACTGATTTAAATGTGGTGTATGATTTATCAAGAATATGCCAAAGGCTGGTCATATTCAGTGAGTATTTTCATTGTAATTAAATAATTTATTTCAGATGACATAGTTTGGAAATTATAATTATGGAATCAATTTAGCCACCTGATATCTTGTAAAGTAAGAGACAGAAACAAGAATAACTATGACTGCTTTCGTTAAAATTTTGCCTAAGAAGTGTGAATACAGACCATAAAAAATAAAAGTCTAACTTTGGATAATACTTCAATTGGTAAATATTTTTAAACTGACATATTGTTTGTTAAAGTTGAAACATCTGATTAGTGAGTAGCACATGGGGAACAAACATTCAACTTCAATGAGTGGGAGAGATAGGGTGTGCTATGTTTTTTGTTCAGGGTCAAAAATTAGTTTCTAAAAAGTCTGAGGCAGACTTGTTTTTCTTTCAAAATTTACGAATAATTAATATTGTTAGGTATAAATCTAGAGTCATAAATTTTTCTCAGTAACAAAAAAAGCCCACTTCTTGAAGTTAAATATTTGCTCCTTTATAAATTATTTGAATGAAATATTGATAGGTACCCTGACATAATATTTAATTTTTAATTACAGTTTGTGAACAGATACAAACCTGTGAAGAAAAAGGAGTAACTTGATACTTGCATAACATTTTTATTCTAAAGCATGAATAACCAGTGAGCCATGTAAAAACTAGCAATTAAAAATAGTGCAAGTGAGCTTGACATTTTAGCAAGTAGTTTTTAGATCCACTTGCAGTTAGTTGCAAGTGATCTTAAAAGTAAAATTCAAGTCTCATAATTCCACAGATATCTACCCTTTTCTCATAAATGAAATATGCAACTTACAAAATGGGTTATGCAAATGAAACGGGGTTACCTAGAAAACATTTTTGCAGGTCTCGTGCTGTATTTAAATTTTAAAAACACCTTCTTGTTAAATAGTTGTCAAAATTATTTAAACACAGTAGTGTAATGAGTGTGATATTTATTGACATAGTTATTTACACATTTTGTAGTATCTTAATGGTGATATGTGATTAAAAACTAGAGCTTTTAGATAATTCTTTAGAAATCATTTTTGTTTATGACATTGAACAAAGTAATGTTTAGAAATCACTGAAAAAATGAAGAGTACATAAAAGAGCACTATTTAAACCCCACTAATTTGACCCATCTTGATGGAAGAGCATTGTGCTAGCCTGTCATGTCTGATGGGTTTTCTTTTTATCATTGCATTTTAATTGTTTTAAGTTTATCAGTTTTGGATAATTTTCTTTCATTAACTATTAATTGTACAATGTAGTTTAGAACCAATTATTATAATAAATAACCCTTACAAGTAACAATCAAGTGATTTTTATTATTTAGTTTTTGATAAATACAGAAAACTTATGTGTTAGTGATTTACATAAATTGTAAATGAATAAACTCATTCAAAATCAGAATTATTAGATTGAAGTAAAACTTTTTGTTGATATTTATAGGTGCCATTGTTACTGAGACTGAGTTACTTTCTACTTGCAAGGTGATTGTAAATATAATTTTTTTTTTCTAGGTGATATATTTAAGCTCGATCCTAAGCAAAAAAAGGACCTTGTGTTTAGTCGCCATGTTCAACAAATTAGTGAGGATTTCAGAAAAAATCCAAACTTATCAGAAGTCACTGTTGTGTGAGTATGTTATGCATTGTAAAAACCAATTTCTGTTTTTCAATTAAATCATTGTTAAATATTAAAATACCATTTTTCATTTAACACTGTTTTGTGGTTTAATCCTACCTCAAATAGCACATGCTGTGAGGGGATATAGTACAAAAATTGATTAAGCTAACAATTACTGTCAAATAGTGTGCCTTTGTGGTGAGCTCTGTTTGGATCTGCTGAAGGTTGAATGCATAAATACTAAGTTTCCTTAATGTATAGAACTAGGTATAAATGTGTGGAAAAATAGATTAAAAAAACAATTAACTTTAGAGTTTAAGGGATAATAAATGAATAAAAAGGGGGGGTATCTAATACTGATTTATCAGTTCTACTACTCTAAATGGGAGTTGTCTCTAAATCTTTCAAAGGTTGGTCCTTTTTTTTTGTTTTAATTAACTAAGTTCATTTCATCATTGTAAGGAATAACGTACAGGAAAATATTTATAAAACTAAATTATTCAACATCAAAGAAGCATTTTAGTATTTGTTAACAATTATACTTCTGTGTATGTGTTAGCTAAATAAGATGTTAAAAATATATTTTATCTTACTGTAGTATTATAATGTGATCTATGTTTTTCTATCTTGTACAGTTCTTTTGATGGAATATCTATGACAGCTCATCAGGCTTCCAATGAACAGATATATTCACAAGATCCAGCAACTGCCTTGGGTCTTTTTTCAGTAACTACAGATAGTTCACATTGGCTTAACAAGTGACAAGCAAACCAAACATAAGACTTATTTCTCTTGTTGTTTTGAATTCATAGGTTGTTTTTATTTGTAAAGGCAAAGGTGATTTCCAATGAGTGATGTTGTTTTTTATGTTATTCACTCCTCCTAATCTGAGTGATTTTACAGCACTTTTGTTGCTCTTGTTAAGGGATCAATTTTGAAAATAATGTTTACAATACATCTGTAAAATAAGCAAGAGCATAAAACAATATGAAACTGAAATATTTATTGTGTATATAATTTGAATGAACTTGTTTCAGATGATAGAAAATAAATTATTTAATAAAAAGTCAGGATCATTACACATACTAATAGATAATGGGGCTTATTTTTATTGAATCTTTGTTTATATTTTATGTGTGTAAATATTATGTAAACTTATCATTTTGACATATATTTTCCAATCAAACAATTCTTGTACTACAAGTGCTGAGAAAGTCACAACTGTGAAACATTGACAGAATTAAAACATTTTATTTTATTAGCTGTAGGGTAAAGATTGTTTTTCTAACTTTATTGACAAAATGTGTACATATTATTTTACAAATTTGCATTGTTTCAATCAAATTTTGTATAAGCTGTTGTTATTCTTAAGGTAAACACGTATACAGTTTTGTCGTTTTAATTGAAATTCTCTTGTGTTTATTATATATTTATTTCAACTTACACCAATAGCATATCCTATAAGAAGCTCTTCCAGTGACAAGAATTTAGTCCATTTTACCACTTTATGGGTTTGTCAAAGTTTGAATAATATAATGAACAAGTTAAAAAAGTATTTTTTCTCGATTCATACATGTTTTAAATCACAAATAGCTTTTATCAGTTAGTGTAAAACGTTTCTATATACAGTCATATTGTTTTGATTTACATTTACTTCTGTCAGTATTATTTTGTGATTCCTGGTAGGTACTGAGTATATTATATTCAGTAATGCCTTATGAATGCACCATTGTTTATTTGGAAGTGAAACTGGTGTGCTGCAACCTGTGATGAAGATATTATTAATGCAGTGAATTCATAGCTCTGTCTTCTGTGATTTATTTTATTTTTTTTACACATACATATCAGTGAGTTCTATACTTAATGTTATTTGAATGTTTGATTCTCAAAAGGTATAATAACGTTTTTGATATGTTGGAAATTGAGTATTTTACTGGATAGTTCATTGTTTCTAGTGTTTGATTTTACTTTTTAACAATATTTTTTATATGATAGTGATCTTTACACATATCTAATGTCACTTGAATTTTTGATGAAATGGAAGGAGTAACTTGCATATGTAGCAATGTATTCCAGGAAATCATATAATCATGAGTGATAATAAGTAAAGTTTTGAATGTGTATATTGGAATATTTTACACTATAGAGTAGGATTTCTTGCTACCTAGACAGTGGCGTAGCAAGAGGGGGGGCAATAGCCGTCAGGTGCAGGTGTGAAGGGGTGCAAAATTTCCTCTGGCCTATAATGCCTATTAATTAATAATTATGCCCTCCCCTAGGATATAGCACAACTGCCCTATGTTAAGTAAATATGACACAGTGTTACATTATTTGTGTGTATTACGCTTGCAGTTTTAACTTTTAAAAGCCGACCACTGAAATACAGTGAGACCAAATTGATGTACAGAAGTAAATTACACTATTCCATCATTCATATGTAGATAAAATACAAGTCCTAGAGTACAACGTACAAGTAAGTGTATGTTCAAGAAAAAGACAATAGGAGATTGATGTAACATATTAACTGGTGTGCAAGATTGGCAATATATGCAACAGGAAAGGTCTAGATCTAGTAAACATTATAGGCCTAATGTAGTGGTTTGTAATTATATTGGCTGATTGTAAATCATGAACTAGACTTTAGGTCTAATTGCAGTTAACTTTATTTCTAGACCCTATTTCCATCATCATACAAATTGTAGCCTATATTATAGGCATACTTAGACTTATACTAACTATTAAATTAGGCATTGCACTAGGACACATCTAATGACTAAGTTAATAGATCTAGATGTAACATTTGTTCTAAAAGTTAGGCCTAATAAATCTAAATCTAGAATTATAAGGCAGGGTTATATCAAGATCTGGGTAGATTCAATACAAGGTGCTTTCAATCTATGCACCCAAATTTAAGGTCTAGTTTAGATGTATAAAGCCAAATTGTCAGATGAAAGGAAGCATTCTATTTTTCTAAGTTCCTAACCACAAATTATATTTAAATTATACAATTATAGTTGCAACTCAAGACTAGTTAGGCACATCTGGACCTGGTTTCACTTTAACTGCCATTATATACTCATGTTAATTAATGTGACACAACAGTAACAAAGTCAATGCAGATGAGTGTATATGCTGGTAAATTATGCTTATGAGCACCATATAAATTACTGGCAGTTGCTAAATCACATTTAAACACTCGATAGGTTTAACTATATGAACACTACAGGAGACAAGTACGAAATTGCTTGAATGAAAATTACACACACACTGTGAAGAAGGGTGTAATCATAACATAATATAAGCCTAGAGGCTCAAAGGCTACATTTAATATTAAAGGTTTTGATAGAATGAGAAAACTTAAATATAGGCTAACTGATTAGTGGTGCTAGATTACAGTTCCTAGATTAAGTCACTAGTACATCTGGATCTAACATTAATGTTAGACCTGTTATTTACATCTTTTTAGTCTTAGGTTTGAATCTAGATGTAATAATAATGACAGAAATTTAGGCATGTTGCAACTAAATACTATAATCAGTATTTATTAATTTATTCGTTTAGACCATTATGTCGAAAAAAAAGAAAGTGGGGCACAGGGATGCAAAAGACATGCACAATTTGCAGCTTCGATGGTAAAGTCAAGCAAATTAATGAGAGCTTTCCTTGCTGGAAGTGATGACACCAGTAAGCCAGCACCTGTTCCTTTTGATGGCAGCAAAGAGGTCAAAGTGCAAGATTGAGAACATGCTATTTCATTTGAAAAAGTAAACAATGAAAAAACTGTTCTCTGTCCTGTTGAAAGCTACAATAATAATAAACAAGAGGATTCCACTTTGTCAGAAACAAATCCACAGAACAGTGTTGCTAAGCTAAAGGAGGATGACCTAATAAATATTTTAACACACAGGGATATTGGATTTATGAAGTTTGATACAACAGGCTCATCACAACACATGCACATTGCACAGAGATTGTTAAAGTTGGAGCACATGAATTTCAACATGAAGGTCCATTTGATGCCAAAGATGGGCATTCTGTGACTGCATTTTGGTTCAACTGATGCCTTCTGAATGGACAAGAGGTCAATCGTTCCGGGTTGGTGTATTCACCTCTACATAAAGCAGCATACTGCTTTTGTTGTCTTCTTTTTTCATCTACATGTATGACATCCGATAGTCGATTAGTTTTCAAAATATAGGGTGGATTCTCTAAGTGGAAAAAAATTGAAAAGTTAAATCCCCATGAAAATAGTGACAGTCATCATGAGTCATTTGCTGCTTGGAAAGAAACTGAGCACCGAATTCGTCTTCAAAGTGGCATTGATGAAGAGCTGCAAAGGCAAATTCAGCAAGAAAAAAATAAATCGTTGCAGGATTGTACACAATATTTAGCTTCTCAGAATCTTGCCTTTCGTGGTCATACTGAGGACATAACTTCAAACAAAAACGCTGGAAATTTCCTGTCTTATTAGCCGTTATTAGCAAAGTATGATCCAGTAATGAGAGAGCCTTTAGAGCGTGTTAAAAACAAGCAAACGTCAACATCTTATCTTTCTCTTGAAATCCAAAATGAGTTTATAAATCTCATGGCTTCACATGTGCGAAATTATTGTTTGTCAGCAATTTGTAGAGGTCAAAGGATTCCACACCTGATTTAGCCCATCATGAGCAATTGGCCCAAGTGATTTGGTTTGTTGACATTGACTTTAAGACAAGAAAAGTAGAAGTCACAGAGTCATTTATTGACATTATACAGATAAAGGAAAAAGACACTGTCAATATTAAGAAAACAATAAGCTCAAAATTAGAAGCGGATGGAATA